AAAAAAGGAAAGTGCTTCAGTATCGGACAAAACCCCTACTGCCCATCATGAAAGCTGGAATGCTGACAAGTGGGCGGTAGGGACCAGGTTGACTACCACTGGGTTAGGTCTTCCAGGGGGGGAAAAACCCCATAGTACTTTCAGTCCCTATGAGTGGCGGAAGCTGTTGCAATGTTTTTTTACTTGGGATTTTATATTGGTGATTTGTTTTTTCTGGCTTCCCCTGACCAGAGCCCTCAAGGTTGAATCATGTTGTAAAACTGGTTTTAATCAATCCAGGGATGACATTTTTTTCCCTCCCCTCAGGGTAAGTTCACCATGGCCAGTGACGTTTGGGCCTTTGGTGTTACGCTGTGGGAAATCCTCATGCTGTGCCAGGAACAGCCATACAGCCAGCTGACGGATGAAGCTGTAATCGAGAACGCCGGCGAGTTTTTTCGACATCAGGGCAAACAGGTAAACAATGGGACCGTTTAACAACATGCCTAGTATACAAAGTTTATATAATACATTAGACCAGGACTCACGCACGTACATGGATAGGCAGTCCTCAGCTTACGACTACAATTGAGCCCAAAATTTAGGTTGCTAAGTGAGAAATTTGTTAAGCGAGTTTCGCCCCATTTTACGACTTTCCTTGACACATTCGTTAGGTGAATCACTGCAGTTCTTAAATTAGTCACATGGTTATTAAGTGAACCTGGCTTCCCCGTTGACTTTGCTTGGCGGAAGTTTAAAAAAGGGGATTACATGAACCCCGAGATACTGAAACCGTCACAAATATGAATCAGGTGTCAAGCATCACAAAACCATGGGGACGCTGCAACGGTCCTAAGTGTGAAAAACAGTCATAAGTCACTTTTTTCAGTGCCGTTGTACCTTTGAACGGTCACTAAGTGAAGTGTTGTAAGTTGAGGACTACCTGTATCTGGACAGTGCATGGATTATTGTGTGGTGGAAAACTCAAGTCACTCTTTCAGCATGCTTTGTGAACCAGTCTGTAATGTTAAGTTCTCCTGCGATTTCAATAAAGGAGAATATTTGTAGCTCAGGATTGAAATGTGGGATCCTTGATGCTCTCTGAGCTTTTTTGCTTGCTTGAAGTTGTCTCAATTACCCAACTAGGTAATATCATGAACCACTCCCACCGATGGAGCAATTCCCTTGTATTTAAACAAAGAGCAAGCCTCACTCCCTTCTAGCGCTGATGATGTTACCTAGATGGGTAATGAAACGTCTCCAAGAAAACTACCAAGCTCAGGGAGCACCAAGGACCCCAAATTGTACCGTTATTTATTTATCTGAGCACTGTATTCCAATTGAAAACACGGCTGTTGTGTTACCTTAACCTAAACATAACTGTTCTGACCTAGGCTTCCCAAGATCATGACGTCCCGATAAAACCTCTTTTATTTAGGTTAAAGGGAATTCCTCTCCAGCAAAGTCCCGGGAAATAGTCTTTCATGAGATTTCACAACTACAGACATTTATCGGGCTTAGAGAGCTGCCAGGCCGATATTTTCCAAATGCCACGGTGTAGCAGACAATACTTGGCAAGAAGTCAGGAACAGATCTTCACCCTCATGAACTGAACTAATTGTCTCCTGCAAACTCCCCTCCTCTTTCGCTCCCTATGGGAGGGGCCATTCACCGTCCACCTGTGCCTTTAATCCCAAGTCGGCCCTTGTTCCTTAGCTGTTCCCTTCTTCTGGCAGCTCTGTGCATGCGGACATCGGGAACAGGCTCCAGCTGTTCTTCTGCCCCACTGATCTCCAACTCCGAAGGCAGCTGATAACTGTCATCCCTGGCCCCCTCTCTGCCTCCGATGCCGAGCCCTAATCAGAGCCTTTCCCGGACTCCAGGACTGGCCCATGTTCCTCCCTAACCTTCTCACTGTCTGAGTCTGCCACCAGCTCCACTGGCCACTAGAGGGCCACAATAATAGCATGCTTTATGAACTTAGGCACTGTTTAGTACAACCTCTGCAGAAGGCTCTTCGTTGTGATGAGGGGTAGACATCATAATTTTAAAAAGTGCCATGCATAATTTGAAACTTGTCAAACTCAAAGCAGAGCACTCGCTGTTACTTAACCTCAGGTTTTCCTGCGTGCTTGAAATTGCAGTGAAAGTCGACAGCAATAGACTTCTCCAGATTCCACATCAGGATATCACATCATTTAAGGCAGAAATGTTTCCATCAGCTGACCCCCCCTGCCCTTTTCAATCCTGGACCGCACTCCAAATGTGAACAGGAAACTGTTGGCCTACCTTTCCCCCAAACACAAAGCTTGCATTTGATTTAATTTAAAATGAATTAAAATCCGGGGAGGGATCTTAAAGCTTGTGGTTTGGAATTGCACACACTGTGTGTCTAGCTTAGGGTTTGATGTGGCACTTAGAAACAGGTCATATGTGATTTCCTGTCTTCACCACGTAGAGAATAAAGTTTGCTGGTTCCATATTAAGCAGATTTGTTTCTTGCCTATTCTACTTGGATGGAGACAGGAATAAGAATAGTGGTAGCAAAAGCACTTAGACTTATACACCGCCTCGCAGTACTTTAGAACATTCTCTGAGCAGTTTACGATGTCGGTGTATTGCCCCCAATGATCTGGGTCCTCGTTTATTGACTTTGGAAGGATGGAAGGCTGAGTCAACCTCGAGCCCCATCAGGATCAAACTCTTCACTGTGGGCAGAGTTTGCCTTCAATATTGCATTCTAACCACTGCGCCACCAAGACCTTGAGTCCAGGCGTGAAATCAACTTACCTTTGCTACTGGTTTGCAAAAGGGGGCACGCGCGCACCTCCGCGCATGTGTACATGCACCTCTGTGCATGCGCAGGACCTTCCGCACATGCGCAGAGTGTAAAAAATGAGATATGATGACATCTGGGCGGGTGGGCAGAGCCTCCTACCAAGCGCGCCTGCAAAGGTAAGTAGAACCGGGGGATCTGCTGTGCCAGGCGATTAAGATTAGCTAGAAAGCGGGAAAACTGATGATTCTAGCTAATATAAATTGCATGTCACAGTTGATTGTCGGAAATACTGGTTCACCTGAACCAGTAGAATTTTTTTTGCTACTGGTTTGGGTAAACCAGTAGCATTTTTACTACCAGTTCAGGTGAACTGGTCTGAATGGATAGCATTTCACCCCTGCTTGAGTCTTTTGAGCTTTAGGAAAATCCAGGCTCTGTCTTGGGCCTGCTCACCTCAGGGCCATATCACGCCGTCTCTTTTCCTCCATCCTCAGGTTTATCTCTGCCGTCCGCCCACCTGCCCCTTGGCCGTCTATGAGATGATGTTGAGATGCTGGGCACGAGAGGCCAAGGACCGCCCATCCTTTCAACACCTGCACTGTTTCCTGGCTGAGGATGCCCTCAATATGGTGTGAACCCAAGCTAGCACCGGCCCTCGGAGGCTGTGTTAAGAAGTTGGACATCACCATAGAGACTGCTGGAGACCGGATGTGGCTCAGAGGCCATTGTGCTCCAGAGCATTTTTGTGGGACATCTGGTTGTTCACTCTGGCCCGGCCTTTGCTCGTCCAAATCTCACCATCCACCTTCCAAGTTGTGGTTCTCTTTCTCGACTGGTTTTCTTTTGGGCTCTGGTCATCTCTAACTAACTTATTTCGTCACATGATCCAAAATTGTTATTCTGAAATTCTTACCAGGTGGTTTGTTTTCCACTCTGTTAACTCCTATTTCTCCTCGTCCTAAACCAGTCTGTTTCAGCTTTAAACCAACTGGGTGCCTTCCTGCTGTGGGTAGAAACTACAATTCTCAGTTGTTGTTTTTTTTAGTATTTATCAACCACAGAATAAGCAACTATGTGTCTGTCCCATATTGCGCCAAGAACATTTGCAGCAAAGGACAGTTGTAAGTCCGAAACATCTGGAGAACCTGAGATTGTCTGTAGCCAGAGACCATGTTGGCTAGAAAGTCTTAGTTCCTGTCTTAACACATCTGGGCGACATCCAAGCAAGGAAGTTGCTCTGTCAAACGTAGCCCTATTCATTCTGCCATAATCGGAAGAAATATTTTATTACTTGTTCTTCCAAATGTTTCTTCTATTGCATCATTCTAGGTCTTTCTTCTGTCCTTTGATCTCCAGGTTTTGAGGATGAGCTAAGGAAGCAGGGTTAGTGGCTAAGATATTTACTCTGTTTTCCTTCCTTCAGCAGCAAACCGGGCACATGTTCTGATTGGGCTAATCATGTCCTTCACTCAACGTTAGCAACTCTGTCAGCAGGTCTCCTACAGAGGACTGTCAACACAAAATACCTGGGTCCCCAATTTCATAGTCAGACCCATCCCCAAGTAGCCCTGGATTTCAGCCCCTCATTGAGAACACGAGGAGAGGATATTCATGTTGGCTTGCTTAGCAGGAGTCTGTCAGGACGGCTGCAGTAAAATGCGTAAAGGTTTTAAACAATTCAAGCACAGTACAATATGTGCATTGTGCTACTTTGAATACTAACACTCCTCCCCCCCCATAACCTCCAATTCTTTCCTTTGACACTCCAGAGAAATTGTTGGGGAGCACTCTTCCCACCCCCACTCCCTGGTCCTTCGCACACTCCTTTAGCTTGCCAAATTAGATTTGGGGGGTTTGAATGCTCTTTAATGGGATCCTAACAGAAACATTACACTGGATTGATAAGCAAAGTTGGAGTGATTGTTCCATTCATTGTTGAAAGCTTTCCGTCCGTCCATCCATCCATCCATCCATCCATCCATCCATCCGTGTTATTTCAAACTGAACTGAACATATATCTTTTGTGGTTAAAGCCTGTGTAACATGGTGTGCAAAGCTCTCTACAGATCTTACATAAAAGCGATTGGTGGGGGCTTGAATGAGAACATGGGAGTTATAATCTATCAGAACTGGGGAGGCATAATGTTAAGCAAGGCTACCCTTGCACTGTAATTCACTAGCATTGAGGGAAGGGGGTGTGGACTGGATTTAATTTTCTCCCTTGCATGATGGAGGCGAACTCCATTAACCTTGGAGAACTCAGTAGTGTTCCACTGTTTGTGTGTGATGTCTTTCTCCAGAAAGTCTCTCTCTCTGTGTGTGTGTCTCTCTTGTCTCTGTCTCTCTCTGTCTCTTGGTCTCTCTCTGCCTTTCTGCCTCTTTGTCTATGTCTTTGTTTCCCCCCCCTCCCACTTTTTTGCTGTATTTTTTGTCTCTCTCTCCTTTTCTGAGAAAGTCTGCATGTGTCAAAGGGAATACTTTGGTCCTTTGACTGACTCCATCTGAGGCGTGCTGCATTTTGAGCTTGTAGATTCATGGACTAACACTGGCAAAATAACTGGGACCATCCGGTCCAAGCACACTGGGATTAATTAAGCACTGGATGTTTGGAGAAGCTGGAAGAAAGAAGTGGCTTCAAAGATACTTCACGAATCCACGGTTGGCCAAGAGATACCTGCTCCTCGCTGTTCTCAAGAGCGGGCAAGAAAAAGAGGAAGGAGCCGAGATTGGATGGATCTGACATGACACCAACCGGACTTTTGGGCTGGATGTATTCATGGACTGAACCGCAACATAGAATTGATGCTGGTTCCTCGTAAGGACCAGTCTTGCCATTCCACATCCTCCAGATCATCCCAAAATGATGGGGACTTGGCCCTGTTCTTTGTACACTTGTTTTGCTTTCTTTTTTTCCTGGAGACTTGAGGTGACCTGATTGTAGATACTGTACTGTATAAAAGGGTGGTTGGAAAAATGCACTTTTCCAAACTAAAGAGAAGAGTCAGGAAATCAGTGTCTGAGTTTTTGTTTTCTCCTGTGATTCCATGATAAAGATGCCACTCCAAAAGTGCCCTGGAAGTTAGCCATGGCATCCGGGCACATTCCTAGCTGCCATCTGCGTTGGATCACACAGGCAACTTCTGATAGGCAACCTAATATGCAATAAATACCTTGGTGGAAAGGAGACAAAGGGACAAAACGGCTTTCTTTTTAGGCTCCAACACAATGTTGTTTAATGTCTTAAGCAATAAATAGATTTTGTTAAGTAATTAATTCATCAAACCTCTTTCAAAGTTGTATAAAGTTGTAGAAATGGGAATTCCTAATGTCTTCAACCTGTCCTAAAATAATGAGAGCTTTCTATGCTTTTGGGATGCAGTAACTCAGTGGTTAAGACGCTGAGCTTGTCGATGAGAAAGGTCAGTAGTTTGGCGGTTCAAATCCCCAGTGCTGCGTAACAGAGTGAGCTCCCGTTACTTGTCCCAGCTTCTGCCAACCTAGCAGTTCGAAAGCATGTGAAAATGCAAGTAGAAAAATAGGGACCACCTTTGGTGGGAAGGTAATAGCGTTCCGTGCGCCTTCGGTGTTTAGTTATGCCAGCTACAAGACCACGGAGACGTCTTTGGACAATGCTGGCTCTTTGGCTTTGAAACAGAGATGATCACCACCCCCTAGAGTCTGGAACAACTAGCACCTATGTGTGAGGGGAACCTTTACCTTTATGCTTTTGGAGGCATCCTTTATCAGAAGAAAAACCCCAAGATAAAACATGGGATAACAACTTGTTGAACCTGGTCCTTCAGAAGTTACCGCTGTGCAGCTCAGTCTTACATGTTTTTGCTTAGAGCAGGGGTGTCAAACTTGCATTGTCATGTGATGTATCACAACTTCCCCTCCCCTTCGCTAAACTGGGGGTGGGCGTGGCCAGCGCAATGCGAATCCAGCCTGCAGGCTGCAAGTTTGACACTCCTGGCTTAGAGGCTCCCTTAAGATTTGTAGGGTTCGTTGACAACTCAGATTGTATAGAACGTCCAATTCTGTTAAATTGATTGCGTCCAGTTTTATGCAATCGAAAGAAATTCTAACACTGAAAACCAATGACAGGGTTCACGCACAGTAGTAACCCAGGCTTGTTTTAATCATGGTTTGTTTGATTGTCTGGATGCTCATGTTGCAAGCTGTAAACCATGACTTATAAGCCACAGTGGCTTGGTATGTAAAACATGCGTATTAAAAACAAACGGGACTGTTGTTTTATGAGATTGTCAGAAAGTGTAAAAGATTGTGTGATGGTATTCTTTAGCAGACATATTGAATAGATTACCATATTTGGGCTGTAAAAATCTAGAGAACTAGTAGATGCAGCAAGCAGTAGGTTTCATGTACCTCTTTGCTTCCTCCTACTGTTCATCTGGATCTTTTGGCAGTCCAGAGACGATCGCCCTGCCCATTTGTAAAACCTGTGAAAAAGAGGGTGCAGTGTGATGCACTTCTGAAATTTAGTTCTTGTGTTTTTTTCAAATATGTACAAAACCAGAAAATCTTCTCCGTACATAGAATGATTCCCTGGAATCAGCGTGCAAAGGGATGTGTGCTACGGTTATATTCCTATTCTCTCAGGAGGAATTACCACAAAGCTGAATGTTTTTTCCCCAAGAAATTGTACATAGGATTGTAGCTTTAACATGGCTAACTGTCGCTTGATGGGGGTAAGCTAATATTTCAAGTATTTTCAATTGTTTGAAATTTACTCATCTTAATTAGATGTATATTTCTGTTTGAAAATGTTTCAGTGGTACAGTGTGCCAATAACTGCTTCTCTCTTTTTTTGGGGTTGTTTCATCATCTCTCCATTTATCCTGTCAAATGCCTTTTCTGTGTTTTCCTGGGAATACTTGTAGCTGTTTCTTTATGTGTATCGGGATGTGTATATATTTGAAGAGCAGAAAAAAAAATAGATTTTTTTACATTAATATATAGAAGTTTGGGGGTTCGTTTGTTTTTAGTTCCTTTCCATTTATGTGGTGAAATAAAACGCTTTGCATTTTGTATACTACCACAGTTGGTCTGTGAAAGTCAGCCTTTCTACTCACAGAAAAGAGAATCAAATTGGACTGGAGGATGTGCAAAAAAATAATCCTTGAAAAGAACCCATATCAATTTGAATGTAGCTGTATAATGATATAAATGCAAGGGTTAGGAAATGTCAGAATAGAGGTATAGCAATAGCAATAGCAGTTAGACTTATATACCGCTTCATAGGGCTTTCAGCCCTCTCTAAGCGGTTTACAGAGTCAGCATATTGCCCCC